AGATGTTATGCTGATGAAGACTGACATCTAGTGGTCAACTGGAGCAACTACATGGAAAACTTTAAAATTCAAGCTCTTATTCACAGATAGTTTCCTGTACTGTGTGCTTTTGTTTCCCGTCACAAATCAAATCCGTCACGAACCCAGAATGCATCGCTTCAGTTTTCCAATAAACAGTTTTAAAATTACTTTATTGATGCTTGTTTAATGAAAAATCTACAACAAACAAAAGAAAAAGACAAAGAAGCAACCGAACTAACAATCCTCAACAACTTTTTAAAGAAGCAGCTGAACTACCAATCCTCAAAAGCTTTTTAATTTTTACACCAGGAGCCAAATGTCTGTTTCAGGAAATCACATCCCCAGCAATYGGTGGTTGTAGGATTAAGCTGTAAAAGGGTTCTTACACTGCTAGTTGGCAGTGTTGTGCATATATTGCACATGAATTATTGCCAGCTAGTAAGTGTCAAATTGAACTTGTGCTTTAAAATTAGATTCTGCTAATTTTTCTATGACATAAGCACTTTTGAGTTTGCAGATCTAAATATTTTTATAAGCGCTTTAGAAATTGCAGAGCTAATTTTTGGATTAGCGCTGCCCACCGCTGGTTACACCATTATTTAGTAATATGTTTGTGGTGTAGTATGTGTCATAAATATCGACAACATTTTTGGAACATGTCACAGGTCTGAGTTGCCGTGTAGACCTACATCATCAACACAATGCAATGACAAAACAAAAGCATCAAATATTGGAACTGAATGTCTTTGTGTATTCTGTATCAGCATGTTTTATTTTAGCAATGATGCAGTGAACTACATATCAAACATTCAAACCCTCCATCTCTTTGTGTGTGTAGCTCTGCAGTCTCCCATAGTGTACCAGCAGGAGCAGAGCAAAGGAGGCAGCAGCTCCTCTCTGACCAGAAACAGTTCATTGTCAGGAAACCGACCAGTTTCTTCATCTCTCAGCCGTCCATCCTCGACTGTTGACCCAGAGATGGAGATGGGGAAGAGCCAGTTAACAATCTCTACCTCCAACGGTGGCTCGTCATGCTTCGAGTCCAAAGTGAGTTCCTGGACATGGGGCGTGCTCATTGTTCAGSTTTTCTTGGTGTTTAAACTGCTTTGAGCAGAGCACACTGCCACAGTTTGCTAATAGGGACATGAAACCTGTTTTTAAACTCCAAGGTTAAAATCTAGGCTGCTGCAGGTGTTTTCATGCATCGTCTGAGACTGTATATCTGCAAAGTTGTTCTCTCTCTGGCCTACTTTAAAGTTTTTCCTGCCTGCAGAAGACTTGATAGCTCAGCATTCAGAGCATCTTTATTCTCTTACATTTACATTATCAGTTCAGGCTAAAAATGCAGTGTGAATGCTGAGGGTTGAATGACTTTACTGGAACCTGCTGATAAATCTGAAACCAAGTTGTAAAGCTAGAAGAACAGAGGGAAAAAGAACACAATAGTAACTACAAAAACAACATGATTACTACTGTATATGCTAAAAATAACAGAATGGCCTGTAAAATGCAGGTGTTTCCACCCATCATAAAATATTTTTATTACCTGTGTTCATCCTGCTTCTGGATGTTTCATTGGGGTTTATGGATCAACATACTGTATAAAAAGATGCATAGACTGGTTCTGTCCACATGAGAGCGATATGTCACAATTCTTCACTTGACCTACCTGACCCTAAATCTAACCTAAACTCAGTTGTATTAACATCTTGGTCCTAAACCTAAACCCACACCCGAAATTATCATCCGTACTCATGGGGACCGGGCAATGGTCCCCACAAGGCTGCCTTTTTCTGGAAAATGGTTCCCATGATTAGTGACGTACGATGAGATTCATGGATGGTGAGGCTACAGAACAACTTATTCACCATGTGACTGGCAGACGTTAATGAGTTATCTYATATCTCATATCAGTGTTCTTTAGACCAGTGGTTCCCAAACTTTTTGTCTTCTGACCCACAAAATATCCATGACAAAAACTTGTGACCCCAAATTTTACTGGTCTGAGTACATGAGCTTCATTAATAACCCTAAAAACACAGGCTTTTTGACAATCTAAACAGCTTGTACACAAATATAAATACATATTCATACTT